TCCAGGGCAGGCGGGAATCGAACTCATGCGGAAACGGCTTTAGATTCTCAGTGCTGTGCTTTAACCCGCTGCGCCACCAGGGAGGACCCTTAAAAATTATTTTAAAAAGTAGCACTGGGAGGCTAGTTAGGGAGGAGATGACAGGTAGAAATAGAATGTCTGGCATTCACCCCAAGCAACAGGTGAGACTAGACTGAGTTGGATTCGGGGGTAGTGTGGTATTTAAAAAAGGTCTGACTCTGGATGTATTTTGGAGGTAGGGATGACAGGAAGTGCTGATGAATTCAGGCACGCAGAGGAAGATCGGGAAGATAGAGCAACTGGGTAAATGAGATGAGTTTGGGGATGGCTTAAAGGGGTCCAGAGAGTTTATGGCAGAACACAGACAGGCTTCTGATAACACCTTTTCTACATATGTCAGGTGAGCACTGGAATTTATAACTCAAGCCACAGCTATCCATTTAGATAGCATTAGGGGAGCTGGTGTTTTTATTTGTCATGCATACTTAAATGAGATCTCCACACAAAACTAAGCACATACACTTTTAGTTAATTAAAAGGTATAGCCATGTACTACCACCCAGCTAAGACACAAAACATTGCCATCATAGGCAGAATTTTGGGATTTCCTCATTGATCTAACCCCTTTCTGTTCTCATAAAGGGAATCCTGCTGAAAATTGGTCTTGTATTTTATACTTTTACCTCACTTGGGCCTCTAAAAACACATGACTTAGTTTTGTGTTTTACACATCATATTAAATCTCATATTCACTATGAAAATTTGTTATCTTGTTTGTAAGCATCATCCAAGTTGATGTGTGCAAACCTTGTATGTTGTTACACCACGATATGCAATAGGAAAATACTATTATTTATTTACTGGTTACCTGCTAAGCGATATTTAGTTAGCAATCATTTTCTATTGTTAACAGTATAAGAGTTTAAAAAGTTTTACACTCTGTGTGTGCCTGTATGAAGTTTCTGTCTTTCACTTTTTCTAGGAATAAAACCATAGGGTTACAAAATATGAGTATTTTTACCTTCACTAGATTATGGACAAATTGTTTTCTAAAGCTTTGGTACCAATACCAGCAGTGTTCCTATTGTTTTACATATCAAACCTTCTGTCAGATTTAAATTTTGTCAGTCTGAAGAAATATTAAATGACATATTATATTTTTCAGTTATCTAATTTTAATGAAGTTGAGCAGCTTCATCTTAAGTTGTAAATTTCCTGTTTCTGGTCTTTGGCCAAATTTCCTGTAGGACTGTTATGTCTTGTCTTTATTGACTAGAGAGATATTTCCTTATCTTTTCAATCCTACTCTGTTACCTGATAGATGGCAAATACCTCCTCCCACACTAACTTTCCTTTTCTATAATGATCTCTTGGTAAAGAGTTTATAGTTTTTTTTGTTTGTTTGGTTGGTTTTTCTTATTTTTTTATTATTTTTATTATTACAA